GCCTCCTGCAGCCAGGAGGTCGGTAGCACCCACGATGGGCCCGGTACCGGAGCAGGTTCTCCCGGGGACCAGTACTGGTCCCCAGCCCTTCGCCCTGGATGGGGCTGGCATTTCGGGGGGGGGTACCCCAAGGCCCCCAGGCCAGGAGGACCCGGACCCCTCACCGCAGCATGTCCAGGGACCAGGGGGCCTCAGGCCAGGCCAGCCAGGGCGGGTGCTCAAAAACCTGCTTTTTTGGTCCGCTGGTCTGGGCCCGGGCCCCCCTGCGCCCCCCTGGGCCCCCCTGGGCCCCCCTGGGCCCCTGGACCCCCCCTGGGCCCCCTTGGGTCCCCCTGGGGTCTGCTGGGCCCCCCCTGGCTTTTCTGAGGCCCTGGGGCCCTGGGCCCCCCCCCTGCGCTTCTGCCGGCCCTCTGTCTGCTTGCCCGCCCCTGTCCCCCTGTGGGCCCTTCCCTAGCCTCACCCCTTTGCTTTTCCTCTGCTCCGCCCCTGGCTGCCCAGACTGACCCTGGCCTGGGCCCGTGGTTCTTCTCCCTCTGTGGAGGCTTGTTTTTTGTGAAAAGCCGTGACGGAATGAAGAAGTTTTATGTAAAGAAAGCAGTTGGCTTGAGTTTAGGCCTAAACCCTAAAAGGAATAGGTTTGGGTGGCTTTGCCGCCTTGGACGGCGTGGGGCGGGAGAAAAGTGTTAGATGGCCTTCCACAATCGGGCCAAAGCTGCTCTTCGCACCTCACGACGCTTTCGAGCTTGTTCCAAAACCTAACCTTCACAGCATCTACGCCCTATCACAGCAAACCCTAAACCCTAAACCCTAAACCCTAAACCCTAAACCCTAAACCCTAAACCCTAAACAGGGACAAGGGTACCACTGGGCTACCAAGAATCTGCATGACTACTCTGGAACATCCTCCGGGGGTGGGCCCTTCGAGGTTGTACACACGTGCAAAAAAAAAACATCATCCAAACCCACACCAAGCACCTTATTGAACGCATCATGCTCTCAACATGACAGCTGCAGGCGTCAGCTAGTTGCTCTCCCTAAATGCCCTAAACCCTAACCCTTAACCCTAAACTAACCCTAAACCCTACACCCAAACACTCCTGCTGCTAGCTATGCAGATCGCATGGGTATACGTCTTGACCAAACAACCTTAGGGCCCCCCCAAAAGCACATAAGCAAAAATTAGGAACAGGGATATCCCATCTAAACCCACTTATAATGAAGCCCAATAAGGTAGGGATATCCCTATAAAAAATGCTTCTGCTTATGTCCTTTTTGGGTCCCGAAAACCTGTTGTGCGATGCTCCGGGGCAGTGTAGTCTCAATATGGGAACGGTTTGACGCAATTGGGACACAAGGCGTCCCCAAAGAGCAGCCCAATACCCCTTGATGAAGGAACATACATGAATTTATTAAAGGATCCTTAATATGATTTGTGGTATCTTCCTTAACTAGGGGCGTTGGGCTCCTTGGGACTTCGGCAGACAGTGGTCAGTCTGCTGTACATGACACGACAGCTGGGTGCTAGATTCTCACTTGCAACGGTTCAACCTACCTAGCTGTTTCTTGATCATCCGCTGCATGCATAGGGCACAACCATTTCCAGTATTGGCTCTTGCTTCGCCACACTTGTAGCATGCAGTACAATTCTGTTTCGTGTGCATTGTTTTCACCGCCTAGCCCCCCAAACCCTAAATCCTAAACCCTAAACCCACCCCCATCCATGCCGCGACCCTACAGGGGAGCCGCCGCACTCTCACAAAAAACACAAGCATCAGGTCGCCTCTGCATCTTAGGGTAGTTTTACATGGTCCCTTAGTATGGGCCTTAAAGGAGGTAAGGGACCGTATTCAGGGCCCATATAACCTTTAACCCTAAACCCTAAGTCCTAAACCCTAAATCCTAAACCCTAAACCCTAAACCCTTAGGATGTACACAAAACATCCAAACTATGTACCATCCCCTGTCAGGAGGCATAACAAACAGGTCGGCAGCTGACGAGGCAGCATCCTTACAATCCAGGGTCTAGAGCCTTTAGGGTTAGTTGGTTTAGGGTTCAGGGTCAGTTGGTTTAGGGCTTACGGTTGAGGGTTTCGGGCTTGTTAAGGTATAAGGCCTAGCGCACAAACTTCGGTTTAATCGTGGCTGGCAAGGGAAGGGGTTTAGGGCGTTCTTTTCATCATTGCCACTGTTGGATAGTACGATTACGATTACATTACATTAGCAATAAGTTAAGAGTATCACATTACTATGATTTTGCCCCTTCGCCAATTGCGACCCTAAGCCTTGACGTTTCACCCCGGGCCCTAATGAAACCCTTGTCATGGGGAAAGCCCTACACCAACGTCCTTGAACACGTGGCTCCAAAAAAACCACGTTTGCACAACTCTAACCCCAGCCCTGAACCCTCAAACCCCGCAAGCCCGAAAGCCCAAACCCCAAACCCTAAACCCGAGAACCTAAACCCTCACACCACGCAAACCCGAAAGCCCAAACCCCAAAC